AAGTTTATGGATGGTTCTGTTCACAGAATTGGCCAAGACATCTTTCCACAATGACACAGAGACAGTAGATCAGTGTTCTCTAGGACTGAGGTTGGGCAGAGAATACGATTGACTATTAATGGACACTGGGTGATGAAAACCATCTGGAATTCAATTATGGTTTTGGTTCGACCACCTTGGAGTAAATTAAAACCCACTGATTTGTGAATTTTAAGAGGATAACTCTTAAGCTGTGTGAATTAGGCCTCAAAACTTCATAGATATGAAAGTAAAAGGAAAACTTGGAGCAAAGGAAATAAAGATGAAACAAAGAAATCTAGGGTAAGCCTCAGAGCTGGGTTCTGGTAGAGTCTGTACTTGTGTGGCTCAGGGCACACTAGCAGCAAGTGTGCAAAGCCCTGTGACATGGCCTGGCAGTTGAGACTTCCATTAGGGATTCTGTAGGAGTGCAGCTTCCCCTGAGGTGAATGCTCAAGAAACAAGCTTCCTCTACTGCAGATATTTTCCATTAGTTCAGAAGAATTCAGATAACTGAATCAACAGTGATCTCGCAAACTCCTTTCACCTTGTTGTTATTTATGCACTATAAATAAATCTTCAGCATGGCTATTTCATTTTATTTTTTACTTTTTATTGTTTTGATTGAGCTGTACAATCTTGTCCACTCCCCTGTTTTCCTCCCCTCTTCCCTTCTACCCTCTTCTGTGATCCCCACACTTCCAATTTACTCAGGAGAACTTGTCTTTTTCTCCTTTCTATGTAGTTCCATGTATGTCTCTCTTAATGTCTTCTTGGTTGCCTAGGTTCTCCGGGGCTTATTTCATTTTATAACTCACTAAAGTATTTGCCAGGCATTTTCCCCAAAATGTAACGACTAGTTCATTTTTGATTCTAATAATTTTAAATAAGATGCATCTTTCTATTTTGCACTGTTTCTTACCCTATGCTTTAAATAGTGTGGACTAATCCATTTCGATCATTTCCTTATTGCTATTTAATTTCTCATTTTGTACTAATATTTATTGGCCAAATTCTCTTTAAATTGTTAAGATTAAGAAACCTATAAATGTATGTTATGTTAATATATTATTTCACAAAATTGTGCCAAACATAATCATGTTAATTTCATCCAAATAGTAAAGATAATGTGTATATAAGCCTTAGCAGGCAGTGAGTAATTTTCAGCTTCTGGGTTAATTTTTTTAGATGCTTGTTGAATTTAAAATGCTCCATTCATAAAATTTACAGCTTAAAACTATAAAACACAGAAAGCTGAAATACCACCAACTGCACAATAAGTCACGTTGACTTTGAGAGCAGGTCAGCCAAGATGAACAAATGAGTCTTGTAATTGCAGAGCAGAGGTCAAAAAATTGGCCCTATCAAATGAGGAGGAAGAGGAAATGCGGCTGACCTAAGGAGAGGTCGTAGCATAAGACTGCATAAATGCCCACTAGCTGTGTCGCTCCATCAGATAGCAGCTGTAGAACGTTTCAAGAAATGATGCTAAGTGGACACTAATTATTTCCTGAGAATGATTTTAAAGAGCATAATAAATGCAGATAATCCTTAGCCTACAAGGCATCTCAAGTTTTGTTTTGTTTTTAATCCATATGTGTCTGATGTTTTCTTAGGAATTCATTCATTCAAGTTTCAACGTAGGACAGCACTTAGGAAATTGCTAGAATTGGGGGAAGGATGAGAGACCTTATTTAGATATACTCTGAAATATACACATATATTTTTATTGCATGCAGGGCTAGGGATATAGCCCAGTTGATGGGATGCCTTGTGCTGTGTGCATAAAGCCTCGGACCTGATCTATGCAATCGCATAAGCCTGCAGTACCAGAACTCTGGATGCTAGATAGAAGCAGCTGGATCAGAAATTCAAGGCCATGCTCAGCTACTGGGGGAGTTCATGGCCAGCCACAAGAAAACCTTTTTAAAAACAGAAACAAAAGGGAACAATCCTTGCAGGTTAATGGAGATAAGGTGTTTTCAACGGTTTAAAATCTGGAGACATAATACCTCAGGTCTATCTAGTGACTCCTCAAAGGTCTATGCGGACAATGATTCTCATGTAGCATCTTCAAGGAGCAAGTGACCTGAGGATTCTAGGTCTTAGCCCTGAACAAAAACATTTGCACTTTCTAACTCATTTGTACCTTAGGAAACCAGCTGAAAGTTAGCTAGTGGGGAAGAGAGATGGCTGTGTCTTCTCTGTGCTTTTGACAGTTAGCAAAAGACTCCAGGATTACAACACCTCTCTCTTGTCTGTTGAAGATGATGAAACTTTTCCGACAGAGGAAAAGTTTGTTTCTTAGTTTGTCACCATGAAAGTGAAACTCACACTTGTACTGTGGTGAAATATTTGGGACAGGCCCAACAAATGAGGACAAGCGGTTTAGCTCTTTTAATTAGCCAGAGTTATATGTGTAGTCAACTCTTGCCATTCCACTCCAAAAATATTGTGTGCCAAATATTTTCTTTATTTGATATTGCTACAATGTGAAGGCAGAATACATTTTGACAAATATGTTTTGATGGAAATTTAAAGTACCACAGCCTAGATATATTACAGTGATCTCCCTTTTGATTTAGTTCTGGGCAGTATGTCATCAAAGATGCTACTCTCTTAACTCATTTTGAGATTCTTCTATAGCTGTTGGTTAAGGGACAGCAAAACTGAATAACGTTTTTTATTGCATTCTAGGTCCACCAGCTGGTTCTTGCTCAAGTCATTCCCTGCCCTAAAGAGTTCATGGATGCTATCTTAATAGATTTCATTTGTCACAACCTAGGGGAAGTGAACATAGACATGTGCAATTTTGCAAAATAAGATTCATACAAGAATAAGGCATTGTAAGTAAACAGCACTCCTGACAGAGACCAACAGATGCAAACAGATCAAATTACCTTTAAATTGACATTTGTTTCCTTCAGTTTGTAGCAAACAATTCTAACTGGTAAATGTATATTTGAAGCTGCTATCAAGAGGGCAAAGTACGGCCAAGGACAACAAACAATAAAAATAAATACTACCAATCTTCAGAAACAATAAGAGAAAAAATGAAAATGATAGAGGTGGAAGCTTGGTTCTTTTCAGAGAAGTAAAAAACTATTTTTGTTTGGTTTTGTTTTTCATACCGTGAAAGCAGAAGACACAAGACCTAACTCTTTCTGGTCTGGTTGGGTCCCTACAGCCATGGACATTATGAGAACCAGAATTGAGGAAGATTTCTGCCTGGGTTTCCATCCTAGCCTTATACTTGTTTTTTTTTTGTGTGTGTGTGTGTGTCTGTGTTTTGTTTGTTTTTCTAGTGGTGGTGGTAAAGGTGGAAAATGTCAGCTGTTCAAAGTGCAGGAAGCAAAATAACATCATTTAATGTCCAATGAAGTTTCCATTAGATTACACTTTAAAAATTCATGTAAATATTCTCGGTTCTCGAATTGAGACATAATCGAGAACTCAAACACTCTTGCTAGAGCAGAAATAAGAGAATTATAGTTCTGCTTTAAGTGTGGTTGACAGGGGCGAATTCAACCTGAAAAGAAAGCTTAGGTTTGTTAAGCATCTTGGGATAACAAAAGGTGCAGGCGTACTTAAAGGTTCACAAGCATGCTTTATTCTGTAATAGACAAATTATTCTTATTTTAGGAAAAAAGCATATTTTTTAAATGTTTCTCAGGGGAAAGGTAAACTTTCTGTACCAAAATTTACAATTATCTCGGCCCACTCCCAGGAGGTTTTGTGACATCCGTGAAGTCTTTAGAGCCTGAAAAAGCAGACAAGAACATGCTACAGGGCTCATTTGAACCAAGAACACTTTTAAGTGTGTTAATTTAGTTCTCCTTTTGTGTTCAGAAAACACCTCTGTTCTTCAAGCTAGGAGATGATTAAACAAAAATTACTTCCCTTGGCTAATTCTGACCTTTTATGAGCTTCAGTATGAAATCCTCCTGATTCGATGCCTGGAGACCAGAGGCTTAAAGCTTAAGCAAATTGCTCCTTGTGGGATGATCGAAGTCCTAGCCTAGGGAGTGCTCTACAGCATGTACTTTTCATCAAAGATGCGCCTTGTCTCTTTACTTTCTATTTATCCCCCATTAAAAGATGGTTAGCTGTATGCAAAACAAAACAAAAAATTTAAACTGATGAGAGGGCCGGAAGGGGTTAATACTGAAGCAGATCAGCAAGCTGAAAAAACAAAAACAAAGTAGCGAGTGAAAGCCCTTTAAAGCCCCCTAAGGAAATTCAATGGGCCTCCTGTTCCTTTAAACTCTCGCTTTTGCTCCCGCTGACACTTTTACCAAACTGCAGTGGCGGCCGCCGGACCCCGCAGTCCAGAGCCACCTTCCACCACCCTCTGCGCTGGTCTCGCTTAGGAGTGATTTTTGCTGGAATGGGGGTGGGTGGGGATCAATGTTAGTAACCAAAGCGACCCAGGTTTGATTTTTTTTTTTCACACCCTAACGGTTGCCAGACCAGCCCTCTGTTAGGGATGAAATGCTATTAACCCTTTAGCGCCCAGGTCGAACCCAGGAGATTGTGGGCACCCGTTGGGTTCTCATCTCCCAATTGAAGGTTGGCACCCAAAAGCCCGAGGAGCCTGGTGGGTGCAGGCGGCTTTTACTCTGCTACGGAAGGAGCGAGTAAGGCGGGTCGATGGTGTCCAGGCGATCAGGATCTGCCACAGCCCAGCATACCCGTCTTCGGGATCCGGGAGGCTCGTGGGGCCGCAGTGGCCCTCGGACTCCCCCCAGCCAGTCTTCCTGGGCTTCATTTGTGGGAGACTTTTCTGGCGCCCCCGAGAAAAGCTCAGCCATTGGACAGGTCGGTGCGGGCTGCTGGTTTCGGGAGGAGGAAGGTGGGAGAAGCCTAGAGGAGCCAGGGGGGGAGGGAGGAGGGCGGAGGGAGGAGGGAGGAGGGTTCCGCGGCGGATCTGGCAAATGGCAAGCCTCCTACCCTCCCCAAAGTGTAGAGCTGGAGCGCGCGGGGGAGCGCGGCGGCGCCTCTGCCACCAAACTCCTGGGGCTCCGCGGTGTTCGGATCCATCTCTTCCCTAGCCCGCGGAAGCCTCACCAGGCTGCAGCTTCACTTTTTTCTCGTTTTTCTTTTTCTTTAAAAAGCACACCCCTCTCCACCCCCGCCTTCTGATCACCGCAGCCCAGACATCCCCGGGCTCATCTCTCTGGGGCTGCCCATCTCTCCCGCTGCCCGTGACGACGCGCGCCCAACGTTGGGCGAAGCAAAGAAGAAAAACTTGTCGGAGGGGTTTCTCCAGCCTCCACTAACCCGCCCTCTCCCGCGAACCCCAAGCATCCGCCGGAGCCAGTCCTAAGTCTGGGAAAGTTCCTCCGGTGCTCGGCGCCCTCTTGGATTTGCAGGGCACGGGTGCTGGCTGTGGAATTAGATATGTTTTGAACCCAGTGGAGCGCGTCGCGAGCGCTCGGAAGTCACAGTCCTCGGGAGCCCGGGTGGCGCTGCTTGTGAGAATCCGGGAGTTTGCCGGCCCGCCTGCAAGTGACCTTTCCTCCCCGAACTTGGTGGTCCTGTGTCGCCTGAGAGCTGCGAGGTGGCAAGTTGAGGAGAGAGCCCCCGAAGTCCGGAGAGGATTAGGCTGCCCCTCCTTCTCTCGTCGCTGTTCTCTGCTACGGTGAGAGAAAGCCTATCGAAACTGACCAGGACCTCCGGATCCCATCCGAGACCCACCGCAGAGCTCGACCGCTAGCCCGATTCCCACGGAGAGCCCGGAGCCCAGGCGTCAAGGAAAGACTCGCGGGGCAGGGAAGGGAGGTCGAAGCAGCAGCATGGCGAGGTTCCTGAGGGCCGACCTGGCGGCAGCAGGAGTTATGCTACTTTGTCACTTTTTAATCGACCAATTCCAGTTCGCCCAAGGGGAGCCTGGAAATCAAATCACGGGTAAGAAGCACTTTACTCGATTCTTTTTGTGTGCAGATGAAGATCCTTCCGGTGCCCCAGTACCCCTATCCCCAGCCAACACCCACCAATTGCATTGCCCTTTGGAAACTTATCCTAGTTGTTTTTCTGGGAAATGCAGTTCACAACACGGGGAAGAGGGTTGACCAGAGGTGTTGGAGGCCAGGACTTCCCTGAGGCTCTGGTGCTTACTCCACCTGGGCGCCAGGGGGTGGTCCTGTCTGCCCCAAGTAGCCCAAGGAAGCGCCAGTGTACGAGCCAGCTGTGGTGGATACCTCGCCCTGGAGCTTGTTCACCTCAGGTTGTCTCCCTTCTGGTTTCTCTTTCCTTGTAGCTTGGAGAAACTGAGCCTCTGCACCGCACCGACCGCGGAAGGGGTGATGGGGGATGTGATGACAGCCAGGGAAGGCTGGTCTCCCCCTGCCAATAGAAAATGCCTTGCTGCCTCTGATCCCTCCTTCTGCCTATCCCCACTTGCTACCTCGGTGTAGGGTTACAACGTGGGGTGCCTTAGGTGCAGCAGGGATCAGGGACTGACAGGAGGTGGAAAAGATGGGGGCGGGCATGCCTCTGAGGACTAGCCCTGGCCCATTGTCCTCTGCCTCTCAGTTCCACCGACAGGCCCAAACGTGTCAGCGGTTCCTTAGCGTTCCTTTACACTGCCCTGGGAGGAGTCAGAGCCTCCAATTCCTCACATTTGGCCATAACCCTTGCCCTGGTGGCCTTTCTGGCTAGGTGTATGCTAGGGAAAGGTGTTTCAGAGTGAATTGGGACTGGCTAAGCTGCTTGTCGCCCCAGACTACTTTGCCCACTGAGACTCTACAGCTTGTTCCCTATTTCTGCCCATCGGTAAAGAAACCAACAGGCAGTGAAATACCAGGGCAGGAATCTGTGAAGTCCTGTAGACTCCCAGAGCGGTGAGAGCAAAGAACACTTGAACAGAAAAAGAAAAGAAAACGTCGTAGTTAGAGCTATCATTTTTGTTCTATTTTGCTTTGCATGTCTGTGTTTTATTTGAGAGAGTTGCAAACGATTCCTCGGAAAGTGTGCATAGGTACCCAGCTGGCAACCTCGGATGAGTCTTAAAAAGAAGTCAGGGAGGGACACCTGGAGATTCCAGGTGAGGGTAAGGGTTTACAATTATCCAGTATACAATTTTACCACCTTGAAACACATTGGATGGCCCAATCAGTGTGTCTACTGCCAGAGTAAATTTCAACAGAGAAAGTGAATACTTTTTCGCTGCTCCTGTTTGAGATTGGAAAGATGTGTGTATTGGGGAGCAGAGGAGGGGCCATGAAGACAAGCTGAGAATAAAATGAAGACTTCCTGGATTATTCTTGATGGCCTAGGATGGTCCTCATCAATGGACATACGTTCTTAGCCGTTTATAACATCAGCACACTGTATTTCTGTTTATTTTCTTGGTACATTTCATTAGTTGAAAAATTAATAATACTTTTGCTTCTGCAGAAAGCAGCACTTTAAAAGATGCAGTAGTCATCTTTATGAGCATATTTGGAATAAATATATGTAAAATAATTTTGCAAAATGGGTGTATGTGTGCCAAAATACATTCTGGGTTGTTTGTTTAAAAACTTCTTTGGCACTGGGAGTAAATAATGCATTTATAGCAAAAACAAATAAAAGAAAGACTAACAGTTTTTATTTTTGTATTACTGAGGGCAGAAATTACTGACACCCATGTTTGTTTTTCTAAGACTTCAACTGGAGAGTGAAATTCACTGCACTTTAAAACTGACCACCTTATGGAAAGCTTTTGCTTTGGGGAGTATGACATACCTACGTTTACAAGATAAATACGCCAGCATTTTTAAAGGAATTCACTATTTCTGGTGGAACTCTTAGAAACATTGTGCTCATAGGATTGGGGTGGAGGAATGAAGTATCTTGTCAATTCTATAGAGATTTTTATATAAGCTGAAATAACCAAACAGGGTTCTAATGGGGTTTGATGAAATCACCTTGAAGTGATTTTAGCTTACTGAATAAAACAGGGAAAGGTGGTGTCACAGAAGAAAAACAATCTACTTTCTACTGTAAGATGACTGGTCTGAGAGTTAAATATCCAGACAATAATTCAGAAGTTAAAAGTTGGCGTGCAGCACTCGGGGTTTTTGTTACAGACATTTTGGCAAAGGAAACACATCTGATTTCATAACAGGACTTTATTGCGCTGTTTAGTTCTCTAACGCTGTGGTTGATTTTCCTGCCACCAGAGGGCAGAGAAACCACTAATTTCTTCTATTCCTGTTTCTAATATTTCCGTGTTCTAGGTACATGTTGTTCATGTTTAATCTGTCATTTTCTTGTATGTTAGCTGTTCTTTCTCTGCTTGGGTATTTTTGTGTTTCATTTCCAGTGGATTCATCCAATTTAGCTGGTCATATTACTAATTTGTATCATTTGTTGTAAGTTTTCCTGTCGACTTACTGGGGCTAGCTAGAGTTTCTGTTAGCATTGGAATCCAGATTATTGGCCCAACATGTTAATCTCCAGCAATTACTCATAAGTCTCCATAAAATGTTTAACATACAAAACTGAGAAAGATTTCCATTGCTTGAGTTTGCATAAGTTTGGACTGCCACAGAAGGGTGGTCTAGAGTAGGTTTCTCATTCACGGATATCTACATGGAGGCAAAACTAGTATTCCATAACAAACCTGACTTTAGCCACTGTAGGCATACCATTTTTAAGTTGTCCATGTATTAAGAAACGGATGTTACCAAAACCTATTTCGCATCCTTGAGAATGTGCTTGAATGAATTTAGAAATGCAAGATGTGACAAGTTTCTTTTCTGCAAGAATCAAACTGGCTCCTGTAGAGATGTAGCAAACATGAACATTTTTTTTTCTTTCTAAATGTTATCTCCTGTTACAGAAACACTCTCTTTAAGGATAAATGGATTGACCTACAGCTGTGGTCTTGAGATTTAAAGATTTCAGTTTGTTTTCCACTTGTTTTGAAGACCATGACCTTAAGGCCTGAGCCACTGCCCCACCCCGTCACCTTCTGTACTCTTGAATTCTCAGCAAATGTTCCCTGAGTGAGTACCACATGTTCCCACCATCCAGTCATCCCTCTTGTTCTTTTCTCACTAATCCCATCTCCCTCCAGACACATTCTACTTTCTCTTACTAGCTTCTTTCTAATAATACTTCCCTAGAAACGAATGCACTGACTTCTTGCTGCCTCCTTTGAAGCACTTAAAGCACTTTGCCTGTCTCTTGGTTATTTTTGGTTTTTTTCTTTGTACTGCTGCATCTCCATCATATACCCTTTTAGACCAGCCCACTAGTCCCTGCAGTCAGGGTTCGTTGTCAAAATCTTAGGTCCTACTGCAGCATATAACATATAGGCATGTAATAAATACCTGCAGAACTGAATGTAACAGCATAGAGCTGTAGTTCAGGATAGATTACTGACCTGAATACAGCCCTGCGAGACTTTTAAGAATTCGTAAAATAAAATGCTTTCAATCAGTAAAGTGGAAATGGATATTAAAAGATAGCTTTATGGAATAATAGTTTAAAAGCGGAGTATATGATCTAGGTCTACCAATCTTCCTCAGGGCGCTGGCAGATTGCAACTTGCCTAAAGTCTTCTGCTTCTTTTTTACTATTTAAAAATTTTATTTCAGTCTGTTTGTCCTTTGGAGTCTAATTCAGAGATCTACCTGTCTCTACCTCCAGAATCTGAGATCAGCTTCCTTATGCCTTCTTATTTACTAGTAAAACTTTTAAGTTCACTCGCTATTCTCCTGTGTTGCTGGTTTCTGATTGCTTATTCATTCATATTTTTAACTTTCTGTCTTCAAATACAGAATATATAGACATTGCTGTATATATACATGTACTCATATGCATAAACATACATATACAGACATGTATAAAACATATTGTTGTATTTTCAGTGGTACTTAAAACTACCAGATAGCTTTAGTTATTTGGAAAATAGTTTTTGAACTGAGCTGTGCTAAGATCTATGGATGGATTTTCATTGTCCTACCACCCAGTTCCCAAATAACAACATGGAGAATTCTTATTAATTATGACAGCTCTGATGATACCTTAGGTGGTGTGGGAAGTCCTTCTGTACATGTGTTGCTTTTATTAGTTAATTAATAAACTGATTTTGGCTAATGGCTTAACAGAACATCGCCAGGATTGAAAAGATGTAAAGAGAGAGTAAACAGAGTCAGGAAGAAGGAATGTAGTCACTGTCAGAGACAAACATGCTGGAACCTTGACGGTAAGCCACAGCCACTTGGTGATACATAGTTTAATGGAAATAGGTTAATTTAAGGTATAAGAGCTAGGCCAGGCGGTGGTGGCGCACGCCTTTAATCCCAGCACTTGGGAGGCAGAGGCAGGCGGATCTCTGTGAGTTCAAGACCAGCCTGGTCTACAAGAGCTAGTTCCAGGACAGGCTCCAAAACCACAGAGAAACCCTGTCTCAAAACAAACAAACAAACAAAAAAGATATAAGAGCTAGCTAGCAATATGCGTAAGCTATTGGCCAAATAGTATTGCAAATAATATAGTTTCTGAGCAATTATTTCATGGTCTGGACAGCCATGAATGAACAAGCAGCTTTTGACAACACTTGGGCTTGTTTCTAACTAGCTCTTATAACTTATTTTAACCAATTTCTATTAATTTACTTTCTTCTGTGTGGCCCTATCGCCTTTATTCTATACTGCCAATGTTGATTCCTCTCTGTCTGAAGGCAACTCTCTCTGTCTTTGTCATCTTCTTCCCAGCATCCTCTCTAGCCTGAAGATCCTGCCTGGCTGTTGATCACTCATCTTTTTATTACACCAATCTGAGTGACAAATCTTCACAGTATATTCCACATTTTTCTCTTTCTGTCCAAATAAAAAGGAAAGGTTTTAACTATAATATGATGAAACAATAAATAAAAAAAACAATTATTAGGAATAATTGCAATTACAATGTCC